CGACCGCGCCTGCGCAGCCCTCGGCCGGCCTAGCGAAACCCGGACCGGGCGAAGGTAGAGCGAGCTGGAAAGCGGTCGTGAGGACGCGGGGTGGGTGGACCGAGGGAATGACGGGCCACTTTGTTCCGCGGCTATAGTGATTAAAAAATAAATACTTTTATTGCTCTGGTTAAAAATACGATACAAACGATCTGAAGCGGTCAGGTCTGCTGAATGAATGAATGAATGAATGAATGAATGCATCCATTATGAAGTGCCCGGCTTTGGCTGTGTCCAGTTGTGAAGGGAGGGGCTGCGATCACCAGGGCCTGGTGTTGCGGCGCTCCTGCAGGTTCCGAATGAACCTGGCGTTCATTACGTCCCCACCCACAGCTGCCGGAACCTGGACCCTTGGAGCAACTGAGTGCGCAGGTTCCTCCCCAGACCCATCCTGTAACAAGGTCTGATCCTCACTGGACGACCTGGTGGCAGGGAGAGGGAGAGGGAGAGGGAGGGTGTTAGAGCTAACGGTAGTCACTGGTAGTCACTGTTAGAGGTCGCGGGTGTCAAGCCTGAACGTGGTGGACAACACCTGCTGGGTTAGAAGGCTGGGGCAGTTCACACTGTGTCCAAACGCAAGCACCAGAGCTCAACCCACAAGGAAGAGCAAGGCTTATGCGCTGTGAGGTAGAAAGGTACCCAGGTCACAGAAAGCGGGGGAGAGCAGGGTTAGGCAGAGTCAGAGGCGCCGCGGGCAGCAGCTGTTAGGGGGAGGTGTGGACCTCACCTATCCTCTGCTTCCTGCTCCCCCTGCTTCCGTTCTTGATTGCCTGCGGAAATACCAGGCATCTGGGAGACCGTGGCGGGGTGTGCGTGGCCCACTTGGTTGGAGAGTAAGAAAGGCTGACCACTTACCTCTACCCAGGGATGAGGTACTGAGTCCCCCGTGGCGGCTGTAGTGGCAGCTTTGGGCTACCAGCCCCCGGGGAGCCCCCCTGTAGAAGAAACGGGAGATGGTGGGGAAGTGGTTCAGGATGACAGATGGCAGGGAGGGGTCAGAGAGACGAGGGAAGGATAATAGCATGGGGACAAGGCGAAGGGCAGCTGCCACCCAGAGGGTTCCTGTCTGAGCCTTTTTCCCAGCAAAGGTAGGGGAGGTCTTATTTTGTGCGTCAAGATCTGACATATCCCTGCTGTGTTACTTTCCCGGGGTTGTGTGGTATGTGATATGATCCGATTATGTCATAAAAACACTCATGCATGGGGGGGGGCACACAAAAACAAAAAGGAGCTTGTGGGACCATGTGCCCTGATGTTTGAAAAACTGGTTACCTTAAATATAAGAAATCTCAGACCAGAGTAGCAAGGTCAAATTTAGGAGGAAAAGGCTGTCTTTTCGAGGGTGACAGACTGTTGTACTATTATTAATATTACTTACTATTATTACTGAGACAGGGTTCTACTATGTAGCCTTGGGTGGACTATATAACTTGCTACATAGACCAGGCTGGCCTCACACTCTAATGGAGATCTGCCTGCCTCTGCCTCTCAGGAGCTGGGGTTAAAGGTGTGTGCCACCATGCCCAGTACGCTATGGGGTCAGATAGTAGGTAGGACTTGTCTTGAGAGAGCACTAAGGGCAGACATGAGGAATTCAAAGAGTAGGAAAGGAATCCAGAAACAGCCCTGAGGTTAGTGAGTCCCAAGATCCAGCCAATCTTAACAATTTATCAAGGGCTGGCCAGGGGAAAGAGGTAGATATCACCGGGGGTGGGGGTGGGTGGTGTGGGCTAAGGTTCCCACAGGCATAGAGAGGTCTACACAGAGCTACTGCAACTCTAGGATAGAACCAGCAATAGAGGGGGAAGGGCAGATCCTCAAAAGGAGGGGCATGGGGGGGAGGCGAGGATGAGCTCTGCAGACCTCAGATCTGCAGAGGAGAGAGGAGGCACTGAGCCCTGAGAGAAGCACAAAAGACACTGGGCACCTTGGGCTGGTTTTCGTTGAAAATGTCAATTTAGAAAACAGAAGAGTCCACACTTTATTGAGACAGCACTGAAGGGCAGAAGGAAGGATTAAGTGGGGAGAGGGAGGTCCTGCTCCCAAGGACTTGAGGGAACACAGAGTGGGGCACCTGATCTACCATCACATGTTCAGAGTGGGGGGGGGAGGTTCTGTCTACACCCCGGAAGGCATGGAAGCAGGGGAGGGGGTTCCTGCTATGGAGAAGGAGGGAGGGCAGCAGGAGGGTGATCCTCATGTCATTTCAACACAACCTCAAAAGTCTATTCCTAGGGAGGCAGGGAGGTTAGAGTGAACCAGGCTTATCTTCAGGGACACCGCTAAGCAAGCAGCCCTGGGACCTTTGCTGGGGTCTGCCGCCAAGAGAAAGACTTGGGTTAGCTGAGGAAAGTGGTGGTGTCTGTAGAACTCCTGTAGAGACCCCAGAGCAACATTTGACACATCTATCTACCTGTCGCTTGGAAAGTAAGAGTTTGGCAATGTTGGGAGGACCCTGCTGGGAAGCCAAGGAGTCCTTGTCTTGTCAGCCTGGACTGCTGCTCTGAGGCACAGCTTGCTCACAGTCTGGCATCAGCAGACTGATGACAGGTTTGTGTGGCGGCAGGATCCGAGCTGCAAGTGGGCACTGTGGAGGGAATTATCCATCGACAGGACACTCTCCCTGGCAGAGGATGCTCTTGGACTTGCTCTGATGGTCTGGAGTCTGACCACAAGCAGAGTGCCTCTCTAGGGGAGTCAGTAGGAGCCATTTAGCCCGAGCGTTCTGGGAACAGAATGGGCTGTCTATGGAGAGTACTTGGAACACATGTTGGGAGTGTGGGGTGTCTTCTGTGGTTAAGAAAAGCTACAAACGTTAGGCTATTTAGAACCCTGGCAACCCAGCTGTTCAAGAAAGGGGGAGAAAAAATCTCGATGGAAGAGTGGGTTGCAGGTTTTAGGAAGGGGGAGGGGAGGAGGCTGTCAGTATCGACTCTCATCAGAGCGGGGAAGGGAGCTGTGGGGGGATGTTATGGACAGGAGGATGGGAGAGGGGAGGCAGGGAGAGAGAAAAACGGAGATGTCAGAGGTGAAGAAGAAGCTAAGAGGAGACATAAGGACACACCCACTCCCTGCCTCTCTGGACGGGCTCTTGGCACACAGGCCCTTGCCAGAGCAACCCACTTGTTCCCAGCCTGTGAGACACATGCATATCCCTGGCAAATGCTAAAACCAAGAATCCCCCAGTTGTGAAAGGCTCAAGGCCCCCACCCGATGGATCCAGTCTTCCTACTCTTTTGATGACCCTCAGAACACAACTCTGGTCCCTGGCTCCATATAAAACCTCTAGATACTTCCCTCTTTTTCCAGACCAGTGCTACAGAAGTTTATTGTTTCACATTTCTGGGGGATTCACCTCATCCTTCACCTTCCTAACTTCTAGACATCCCGAGGCTCCCAGACTTGCGGGCCCTATTACCTGGTGCGTCTGCGCTGGGCTGGGCTGCCCCCAGGGTCAGAGGCCAGCAGAAGGCGGGCAGTAGGGTGTGGCGGGCAGAGACGCAGGGAGCGAAGCAACTCCTGCTCTGGCACAAAGGGCCGGAGGGGACCCCGATCCGGCGAGTTCCCCAGGCTGCTGGAGCGTGGAGGTGGGTGGGCTGCAGGCATGGCGCGGCGAGGGGCCCTGTTCAGAGGCCAAGGAGGCTCCACAGCCACCTTCAGGACTTGAGGGAGGAGGACAAAGAGGGTGAGAAAGAGAAGAAAAGGGGAGAGAAGAGAGTCACAGTAATAGAGGTTAGGTAGAAAAAGCAGCTTTAGCCATTTATTATTGTCTCCTAGTTACCTTCCCTTAGCCACTCCTCTCTGGGTCCTTAAGTCTAGCCAGCCTCCCCTGATCTGGTTCTCCATCCAGGCATGGCCACCCTCTTCTGAGTCCTCAGACCCAGCCACCCTCCCCAACCCCCTTACATTCTCTGTCACTGGAGGAGTATGGCTTAATGTCTCCCTCTGCCCTTTTTGGTGGCAGCTTCCGTGCTGGAGCTGGTGGTAGTAGGGACACAAGTTCAGTTTTAGGAGATGCACTTTCCACCCAACCTCCCTGCTACTTCCCCACAATGCCAAACTTCTGCTCCCTGACACCACAGCTCCTCCTGGGAATGCCAGTACAGAAGCTGAGCTGTGCCAAAGCCAGCACACCAAAGGGAGTTTGGGGGAAGAATGCTGGAGCACTTTCCGGGAGAGCCAGAAGGAGTAGGCCAAACACAAGAGTTTCAGGAGAAAGATCCAGGGGAGACCAGGGCCTGGGAAATACAGGAAAGGATGGCCAAAGGAAGGCGAGCTCTTACTGTCCATGGGTGTTGTCAGGCCCCCCTGGGGTTCTGGGGCAGTGGAATAGTCCCAGCTGGGCCAGTGAGGACCCTGGGTCCCTCTAGATGAGATGGACAAAGCCCTTGGTTAATTGGGAATTGTTCTGGGGAGGGGAGAGGAGGTGCAGAACCTCTCCTGCCTGTTCAAAAAAGATATGGAGAGACTGAGGCCTTACTAGGTTTTAAAGTAATAATAAAAGAATGTGTTGACACACACTAAAGGCATGTCCCTGCACTGGAAAGGCAGAGGCAGGCCTGACAGACATGGTGTGTTCCAGGACAGCCAGAGCTACAAAGAACAAGGAGTCAGCCGAATGGTGGCAGCGGCTCACCCCTTTAATCCCAGCACTCAAGAGGCAGAGGCCGGCTGATCTTTGTGAGTTCAAGGCCACCCTTGTCTGTATAGTTAGTTCCAAGACAGTCACAACTACACAGATCCTGCCTTAACCCCTCCCTCCCCAAAAAGAAGAGAAAAAAATGTTTGCAGAGGGGCTTCAGCAGGTGGGAATTACTGTATGGCAAGGGTGGGTCAGGTTCTACATCAAAAGGGTGGAGATCCCAGCAGCCCTCTGTGGATCTGCATCCTCCCTGATGGTAGTGTGACCTCACTGCCTGCTGGACGGTGGCCTCAGGAACCACAGCGCCTCATGGACATGATGGGCCTCTGGGAGCCTGGGCTGACACTAATAGAGAGCAATAAGCTGTTCTTTGGGCCACTGTTACTCCTTTTCTAGGCCAAAGGGCTATCCTAGGAAGAAGGCCATTCCGTGCCAGCAGCACCACACCACTGATGAAGGCTGTACCCTCTCCCTGAGGATGTCCAGGGGGAGGGAGCAGGGGAGGCAGCTTGTGAGCTTTACTCCAAATGGGTCTATTTATTTATTTTGGTTTTTTTGGTTTTGTTTTTGTTTTGAGACAGGGTGTCTCTGTGTAGCCCGGCTGGCCTCAAACTCAAACAGATCCACCTGCTTCTGTCTCCTGAGTGCTGCGATTAAAGACGTGCGCCACCATACCCAGCCAGGTTTAATTATTTTTGAAAAGGGTTTTTCTTTTAAGGCAAGATCTCATATGTTGCTCTGGCTGGCCTAGAGCTTACCACATAGACTAGGCCAGCTTCAAACTCACATAGCTCTACCTGCTTTGGCTCCCTGAATGCTGGGAAAAGGCGTGTGTCTCCATGCCATGTTAAAATTCCATCAATTTTGAGCTCGCTCTCTCTCTCTCTCTCTCTCTCTCTCTCTCTCTCTCTCCTGGTTTTTCAAGTCAGGGTTTCTCTGTGGTTTTGGAGGCTGTCCTGGAACTAGCTCTTGTAGACCAGGGTGGTCTCGAACTCACAGAGATCGCCTGCCTCTGACTCCTGAGTGGAGCAGTCTCTTCTAAAGCAAATATTTAAACTGTGGACTGGTCACATCACTACACCATGAACAGAAATCAAAGGACTGCTGGGCTCACTTGCCTGTGCCTCCCTGGCTGACAGAGCCTATGGAGTTTATGAAGTGATTTATTTGATTTTGGCCTATTTAGAGCGAGCTGACCTAGTAAAGAGGCTATGTTGACATCAGTGATCAGCAAAGCTCTGAAGGGGCTTGCTTAATGAGAACCTCTGCTGAGAACAGGGGCAGGGTGCATCTCCGCAGGCAGTGGAGCAGTGTGGTTAGAGGCACACTTCAGCATTAGCAGTTATAAAATGCACCAGCTCCCAGCAGGGCCAAGGCAAACAGAGGGAACTGACTGCTGGCTCTGTGGGTGGCTTTAGAGTATCCAGAGTGCCCAGCAGACAGCACTGCTCACTTTGGGACCCCTTGAGAAACTAGACCTCACTGTCCTTTAACTCCACCCAGTCCATGCAGGCTTTACCAGGTGTGGGGTCGACCTCAGCGGCACGAGAGTGTCGAGATGCCCTCAGAGAGGGAGTGGGGGGCCCTGTGAGGGAGGAAGAGGCGGTGGCCCTCAGTGGGGGCCAGTGGGACCAGGAGCCCACCTCTTTCCTTTCCCTTTCCCCAGCTACTAGATCTACGAGAGGCTCAGGAACTTACGATGCTGATGGGCGAAGAAGCCTTCAAAGATCACAAAGTTGTTCACCTGGAAGATAAAGCAAAACAAGGCGTGTCGTCCCCTCAATCTCAGCACACAGTGGGCACAGGAACCGTGCCAGCAAGGCCACAGGGGTGGGCTTTGGTGCAGCTCAGCTAGTGGAGTGCTTACCTGCCAGCCCACAAAGCCCTGAGCAAAGCCCCAGCCCCACATACACTGGGTACGCACAGTGCCACATGCCTGTCATGCAAGCACTCGGGAAGGGAAAGGTTATCTTTAGCTACAGAGAGCTGGAGGCCAACCTGGGCTACGTGAGACTCTGCCCCAAGAAACAAAAATAAGAGACTGGAGAGATGGTTCAGCAGTTAAGAGCCCAGAGCCCTTGCAGCTCTTGGGGAAGACTGATTTCCTAGCACCCGAAGGGTGGCTCACAACCATCTCTAACTCCAGTCCCAGGGGATCCTACACCCTTTCTGACCTCCACCATGGGTACTAGGCACACCCATACTGCACATATATTTGGGCAGGCAAAATATTCATACTCGTAAAATAATAACTCTGTGTAGGCAGTGGTGTCACATAGCTTTAATCCCAGCACTCAGGAGGCAGAAGCAGGAGGATCTCTGAGAGTTTGCCTGGTCTACAGAGCAAGTTCTAGGATAGCTAGGGCTCCACAGAGCAACCTGTCTTGAAAAACCAAACCAAACAGTGCTTAGACAAATGGATCTCCAGAAGCAGAGCTATCATAGCACAGATGCAGAGCAAATCAAGAGGCTGGGCAGATACTGCCCGTCTGGGTACCTTTCATGCCCAGCATCCACAGTGCGGCTCACAACCATCTATATTCCAGGGGCTCCAGCTGGTCTACAGAGCAAGTTCTAGGATAGCTAGGGCTCCACAGAGCAACCTGTCTTGAAAAACCAAACCAAACAGTGCTTAGACAAATGGATCTCCAGAAGCAGAGCTATCATAGCACAGATGCAGAGCAAATCAAGAGGCTGGGCAGATACTGCCCGTCTGGGTACCTTTCATGCCCAGCATCCACAGTGCGGCTCACAACCATCTATATTCCAGGGGCTCCAGCGCCCTATTCCCACCTCTGCAGACACTGAATGCACGTGGCGCACAAACATACATGCGGGTACTCACACATGCATATAAGTCTTGAACAGAGAAATCACAGGACACCTGCTAATACTAATTATTTTACAGGACATCTGCTGGTATTCCTTAAAAGCTAGCTGCTCCACTTGTCCTTGCAAACTGTGTGATGCTTCTGATGTGAAGGTTGTGCCCTTTGCACTGCTCTTTTATTTTATTTCATTTTATTTTATTTGAGATGATCTTACTCTGCATCCCCCTCAGGCCTGGAATTCATTTTGTAGACCAGGCTGATCTTGAACCTACAGACACCTACCTACCTACCTCAGCTCCAGCAGTGCTGAGATTAAAGGTGTGGACCACCACACCCTGATACTGTCCTTTTACCTTTTTTTTTTTTTTTTTTTTTGACTCAAGAGTTTCAGGTAGCCTAGGATGACCCCAAACTAGTGATGACCTTCAACTCCCATCCACCTTAAAAATCAACTCCTACACTGGGCATGGTGACTCATACCTGTAATCTTAGCCTTCAGGAGGCTGAGGCAGGATTGCTGTGAGTTCAGAGCCAGACAGTGAGCACCAAGCCGGTCAAGAGAAGACTCCTAATATTTCCCCAAAGCCAATCTACCTATTATTTCATGCAGCGTCATGCCTCCCACTGCTTTGGGTTTAATGGTTATTTTCCCACATCCCATCTGTAACGAGATCACACTTGTTTTAGACACACCACCCCATCCACTGCTGCCCCCTAGTGGAGCCCTGGCTCTCTCTCATCAGGGACTCCGCTTTCCCATCCAACTCCCTGACCTCAGCCCTGGGTCTTCTACTGCCTGTTTCTTTGGCCCAGCAGGCAAATCCAAGGAGACAAGACCTACCGCCAAAGTGATTGTGCTTTTTTTCAAAACAGGGTTTCTCTGTGGCTTTGGAGGCTGTCCTGGAACTCACTCTGTAGACCAGGCTGGCCTCCAACTCAGAGATACACCTGCCTCTGCCTCCTGAGTGCTGGGATTAAAGGCGTGCGCCTCCACCTGGCTGTGGTGTTGCTTTTCACTATGTAAAAACCAAAGCCTTTATTTACAATGACCTGTGTGGCCATAAGTGTGCTCGCTTCCTTTGGCTTTGGCTTTCATCTACTGCATTCCTTTGGTCACACTGAGCACGGCCTCTGTACCGGCCATTACACCCTCTCTTCACGATGCTGCACAAATGAACTAATTGGCTTCCTCTGATGTCTCATTGGCACCTGTAAAGCCCCTCCCCCACCGACACCCACACTTTCTCACAACACTTACCCTTAACTACAGTAAAGAACACTTATGCACCACCTTGCTTGGCCTTAGGATACCTTATGTTTGTCTGGTTCCACATTTAGAAGGCAGATTCTTTGGTTGGTTAAGTGGTCCCAGTGCCCAAGACAGTGTCAAACACACAGTAAATGTCTGTTGATGCACTAGTCATGTGTCTCTAAACTCAGAGTCACCTCCGTGATAAACCAAGCTCCCTGAGGGCTGGGGTGTCTGTTATTCTGTTGACTAAATGAGAAACCCCCTGTGTGAGAACAGGTAGAAAAGAGCTGCTTATGTTTGGGGATGAAAATAAAGTACAGTAAACAACCCTTGTCAAGCTGAGGCAGAGGTGGGATGATCTTTATGGTTCAAAGCCAGCCTGATTTCTATAGATAGCTCCAGGACAGTCAAAGCTACACAGAGAGACCCTGTCTCAAAAAAACCAACAACAGGAAGGGAGGAAGGAAGGAAGAAGTCCTGATAAAGTAAACAGAATAGGAAGTGGCTCAGAGGTTAAGATTCCTTACTACTATTGGAGAGCATCCAGGTGAAGTAGTCAATACCTCTGGCCTCAATGGTCACTCAATTTATTTTCTCATGCCGGGGCACTCACATACACATAGACATAAACAGAGAATGGATAATGTTTAAACAAAGAATACAAATGAAAGGCGGGCATGGTAACACAGCAGTTAGGAGTCTGGAGCAGGAGAATGACTGTGAATCCTGGGCTACCCTGGGAGTCTCAGGTCAGCTGAGTTACAGAATGAGATCTTGTCTGAAAACAGACAAGCAAAAATGCCCCAAGAATGACTCTGGTGGAGGCAGAGGTAGGTGGATTTCTGTGAGCTCTAGGTCAGCCAACACTAGACAATGATACTCTCTCAAAAACAAGAAAGCTGAGCATGGTGGCGCACACCTTTAATCCCAGAACTTTGGAGCAGAGGCAGGGGGATCTCTGTGAGTTCAAGGCCAGCCTGGTCTACAGAGCTAGTTCCACGACAGCCTCCAAAGCCACAGAGAAACCCTGCCTCGAAAAACCAAAACAAAACTAAAAGACAGGATGAGTATTTGTAGTACATGTGATAGTGTAAGAAGAAAAAGATTTAGCTGTAAAAATAAACCACACTGGACATTGTGACATAATCCTAAGTCTTGGGAGGCCGAGGCAGGAGGATCATCAGTTTGAGGTGGGCAGGGCTGTGGGCGGGGAGGGGGAGCACTATACAGCAAGTCTCTTTCAAAAACCAAACAGCTGGGCATCAAGGTATACCTGTCATCCCATAATCGAGGAGGTGGAGACAGGAGAATCACCATGAGTTCAAGGCCAGTGAGACCCTGTTTCAAAAAAAGAGGTGACATCCTGGACACATGTAGATATAAGCAAAGCTAAAGGGACTCAGTAGATTTAAATATATACATCTATGTACATGGAACAATAACAAAGGAGAGATAATTTGGAGGGGGGCATGGGAGGAGTTGGAGGGGCAGCAGGGTTGTAGATACAGAACTTATGTACGAAGTTCTCAAAAAATAAATTAGCTGAGGTGGTGGGGACAGCCCTTTAATCCCAGCACTCTAAAGGTGAAGCAAGTGGCTATCGATGTTCCAGGCCAGCCTGGTGTACAAGGTGAGTGCTAGGACAGCCAGAGTGACCCAGTCCCCAGCACACGGCCATCTTAACTCCAGGCCCATGGTTCTGGCACCTCTTCTGACCTCTGTGCCTACAGGCATGAACACGGTCACATATATACATGTGGAAAACATTCATGCACATAAAATGAAATAAGTCTAAGACAATAACAAACAACTCAAGGTAGGACCAGCCACGTGCCTCAGGGGTAAAGGCACTTGCTGACCCTGAGTAAGTGATTCTCATGTCTTTCATCTCCACACATGAACTGGAATGCACAGTAAGAATATAAATGTCGGGCTGGAGAGATGGCTCAGCGGTTAAGAGCACTGACTGTTCTTCCGGAGGTCCTGAGTTCACTTCCCAGCAACCACATGGTGGCTCACAACCGCCTTGAATGAGATCTGCATGCAGGCAGAAGACTGTATACATAGTATGTAATTCAGTGGCCGAGCACAGCTCTAGCATGCCCAAGGCCCTAGCTTGTATCCCACCATTCACAAAAGGGTCAGCCACTCTGACAGGATTGCTTAGTGCCATAAGGTGCAGCCTCTGTGCAGAGCCTCTCACCTGTGGGACTGTCGTCTCCAGGTTGTAGTGCTTGTTGAGGAACTTCAGCAGCTTTGGTGACGGTCGATCAATGGCCAGTTGGTGTGGCTCAACTCGCTCTTTCTGCAGGGAAAGGGGAGGCTTGTGGGCAGGGGGCAGTGAGAGAAGCATGCTAGCATGAAGTTGGGAACCCGGTGAGGGGATGTGAGGAAAACGACCACCGTGCCGCAGGCAGCGGGGTCTCTGGCAGCCTCAGGGGAGGAGCCTTTTAGATCTCTTTTGGCTAACCCTCGAAGACCGGCTGGCACCTGTAACATATACTGGAAGAGTTCTCTCCCGTGGCCATGCCGCTGCATTGACTCGTGGATATAAAAGTCCAGGATGCACAGTGGTTCTACCTCGTTGTGGGCTTCACGGTCGTCCTGTGACGTCAACAACAACACATCTTTTTAGGAGCCAGGCAACTTTGCTGCCCACCCACCCCTATCCTCCTCCACATCTCTTCTCTGGCACCGAAGCCTACGAATGCCCAGTTTGCAGCAACACTCACCAGTACAAAGAGCTTCTTGTATCCGACTTTGAGGAAACCAATAATGGCTCCTTTCCCTGCCCTGTGGGATGGGGGAAAGAATGAGCCAGGCAGTAGCAACTGTCTGGGAGAGATAGTAAAGGGAAGGAGGACAGCTAAGGATAACGGCGTGATTCGCATGGATGACAGTCATAGAACTCACGGCCGGGCTGCAGTGTCCTTCAGTATGTAAACAACGTGGCGGTTACTCTGCATCCTGGAAGCGCTGGTGATGGGCGCGGGGAGATGCTGGGCCTGCGGAGATGAGGGCAGGCTTCGTACAGGCCCCCACCTGCCACCCCGGCTAGCCTTTCCTCCCCTGGAGGTGCCCGTACCTTGGCAGAGGCCTTGCCCAGTTCATCTAGAATGGTCATGATTTGCTGCTGCAGGTCCACGCTGCAGAGAGACGGGCCGTCAGAACCTCGCCTGGGTCGCAGCATCCCAGGGGTCTGTCCTGGCAGCCTGCTCGACTCCCACCCAGGCCCCTCCAGGGGTCTCCTCTGCCTCTGCTCGGATCTCTTCCTCACCCCCCACCTCACCCCTCCAGATCCCAAACTTGGGTTTCACAGCTCCCATGAGGTGACTTGTGGGGCAGTGGGGGGTCAACCGCACACATTGGGCCAGGGGGCGAAAGGTCAGGGAGATGCAGGCCCGTTAACCCGGCTAGACCCAGGGTCAGAGGTCACTAGACACCGGGCTGTGAGCCGCAGAGAGAAGGGCCGGCAGCCAGCGAGAAGGGGGCGTGGTGCCCTGGCCGGGCTTGGCGAGGAAACGGGACAGGAGGGCCACGGGGCGGGTTTGAAATGTCACCGGGCCGGCGTTGTGGTTCCGGGTCGGCGGGCCGGAGGCCGCAGGTGCTGGTCCAGCACGGTGATCCGCTCCGGGAACAGCGCGTCCACATCGAACGGGAACTCCATGGCCCATTGTGCGGGACCGGACACGCCCCACACGACGTCACTTCCGCCACCAGGGGCGCGCTCCCCGTCTTTATTTCCAGGATCCGCCTCCAGGGATCGCCCCGCCCCTACGGCAGGGTCCGCAGCGGGAGACCCCGTTCTTTTCGGTCCCATAGCAACGCTTAGGCGGTGCCACGGCAACCCAGCATTTTTCAGCGCCCAGGGGACCCACAGGACGGAATCGCCCCCACACACCCTTGCCCTGCTGGAGTGGCAGGAGGGTGAGTTAGACTCAGCACCCTCCCCACAGCACCAATCTCACACACCTCACCCCCTCCTTCTGGAAAGTCACTCCGAAGGACGCCAGGGACACGCGGACGGACACGGCTTTATTGTAGGAAAGCTGGGCGACAGGGATCCAGTGCACACACCACAGTCAAGTCTCCCGGTCACATCTGAACCCCTCTCCACGGTCAGTTTCCCATGTGCCTCCAGACCTCTCCCCAACCTCATGTCCGTCCTCCTCAGCGGTCAGTCATTCCCTTAGGGGCTGCCTGCCACTGTCCCCAAAACAGGCCCGTTTCAGAACCTTAGACTCCATTCCCTTAACCCCTGACTGCTTCCCCAGTTCACAGGTCCTAAGCACTCTGGGAGCCCATCTGCTCAGTGGCGGTTTCTGCTGGTGGAGCGGTGGGCATCTCGGGCATCATCGACTCGGGTGGGGGGCCGCTTTCTTCTAGGAGATTTCCTTGATAGAGCCGGCGAAGGCGGGACAGTTCTCTCTCTGGTGGTTGCTGCCAGCTGTACCATGGGTACCAAGGTTCTCCTGACAACAACGTGGGGGCCGGCGGAGTGACACTGACAGCTCCATGGGCAGTACTGAGGTCAGTGTCTCGGGGCTCGAACTGGGGAACGTAGTACCTGAGGAGACCTATGGGATTAGAGGAAATAACGGAGGATGAGGAAGGGCAGTTCCATTCAGAGACAAGAAGGCACTATAGACAGAGGGACCAATCAACAGCAGCAGGCACAGCCAGGCGGCGGCCCACGCCTTTAATCCCTGCACTCTGGAGTGCAGAGGCAGGAGGATCTCTGTGAGCTTGAGACCAGCCTGGTCTACAAGAGCTAGTTCCAGGACAGCCTCCAAAGCCACAGAGAAACCTTGTCTCGAAAAACCAAAAGGAACCCCCCCCCCCAATTTAAAAACATTAGGTACAACCAGCCTAGGAAACAAAGAACATAGGGTACTGCCTGGACTCTCCCCGCAAAGCTGTGTGTTCAGTCACTATATACGGAGAAGGTACCCCTTCTCTCATCTGTCAGAAGACTACAGAGGGGCGGAACAAAGAACACAAGACTCAAGACTCTGGAGACACAGAGTCAAGTGAGAAAAGAAACATTTCTTCCTTCGTGACTGAAACAGCGTCTTAACACGTAGCCCTAGCACCCAGCAATCTGCAACTGGACTACAGGCTCCAGCACCACACCCAATTTACAAGAAACTCTATGAGCACTGGCCACCTTCCTTCCAGTCCAAGTCACCTTGCTGTCACTTACCATACTCCCTGGCTTTCTGGATGGCCTGGGTCAGCTTCTTGTGCTGCTTCATACAGACTCCTACAGAGAGAAAAATTAACTCACATCCTACAGAGCAGAATTGGCTAACGTTTCTGTACAGAGACAGCTGATTGTGGAGGAGCTGGCTTTACCTAACAACCACCCCCCTCCCGTGCAGCCAGTCTCCCACCTGCCTAAAAGCTAGATGAGGACCTCGGGTGACTGGCCACCATAGAGATGCCAGGGAGTGATAAAACCTCAGATGGGCCAGTTGCCAAGTGTGACTAAAGGCTGACTTGGACAATCCACCGAGAAAGATCCCATAAGGGAAGAAGTGATTTCAAGTTAGGGAATGGGATACAAGTAGCAGTAATTATCCCATCTCCATTCTGGAGATTGATAGCAAAAAAAACTTCCTCCCAAAAGGAACTTATTACGGGGCCATGCACCTCTCATGGACAGCGAGTTCATTATTCTTGCTCTATAGGTCTTTCCTTCTCTGTCTATGATTTATGATACTTGGCTTGGCTACTGTAGAGGCCACGTTGAAAAACTGGACATGGCCATAGGCCAGAGGGTAAGGTAGAGTCAGGCCCGAATTGTTAACTTAGTTGTTTTTCTTGTTCTTTTTATGTTCTTTTTGTTTTTAAAGGCAGGCTCGCTCTGTGTAGCTCTGGCTGTCTTGGAACTATATAGACCAGGCTGACCTCAAACTCACCACGATCACCCTGGCTCTACCTCCAGCAGTGACTCCTGAGAGGCTCACCTTAGTCTTTTGTATACATGTTAACTGTTTTAACCTAATGAGTACCCTCATTAAATACAATCTCCAAAAGCTTCAACCACATTTATGTGCTATATATAGGATCTATCAAACAAACATCTACCAACCAATACCATAAACCAGGAGTGGTCCAAGAAAAAACTATAGCAGTATTTACAGGAATGCCAAGCTTACCTGTGTAGGGGGCGTGGAAGATGATACCCGTGTGGGCGCAAACAAACTGTTCCAAGAGTTTCACATTCTGCAGGAAAGAGATAGACAATGTCTGAGGAGGTGGTCAAGACCTCTGACAGCTGAGTTGACACCTTACACAGCCACATAGCCCGTTGTGGTGGCACACCCCGGTGGAACACCATGAAAAGGCAGAAGCATGAATTTGAGGGCAGCCTGGGCTACATTTTATCAGGTGTAATCCCAGCACTTAGGAGGCAGAGGAAAAGTGGATCAGTGAGTTCAAGGGCAGCCTCGTGGCTGTCTTTACTGCTCAGTGTCTATCTGGATGCTTCCTTCAGTTCTAGCCTCACCAACTCATTTCACATATACATGCTACAGTCTGCCACCAAGTTACCAAGAGGCATGTTCCAAAATGGCCCCCTTTGGGACAGCCATCAAGGTCCTAGAAATTACCCATAAATGACAACATGATGGATGAGTAAGTAATACAATAGCCTGCTGAGTATAATGCATAAAATACAGTGTGTAACTAAGAGCAATTTAATAGTCCTAATTACATAAGACAAGCAGACAAACCACTCACAGGAGGTGAGTGGGGAAGAAAGTAGATGCACCTACCGCCATGCTCAGCCCAGTCATTGCTTTCTTTTTGTAACCGCCTACATGCAGAGACTGGGCAGGCATCCTCCGTGATGTGCTGGAAGGACATGAACCCCCCACCAACAGACTGACACTCGGAGTCCCAGCATCCTCCACGTGCAGCCATTGTTTTGGTTCCTGTGAGCATCTTTATTGTTTACACTATTTACTAAGACGAAGCCTTACCATTCTGAAGGCTTTTTGAAGAAAAAAAACTCTATTCCATTCTACAGCTCCCTTCATATCTGCCCTCTAGCCCCAGGTATGGGAGGACAAGGAAATAACAAGGTAGAAATCCTAGAACTCCGCCTGCTGAGACAGGACAGTGAATTGAGGTCAGCTTGGGCTATATAAACAGACCCTCTTTCAAAAGATAATGAGCCGGGTGGTGCATGCCTTTAATCTTAGCACCTGGGAGGCAGAGGCAGGTGGATCTCTGGAGTTCAAAGCCAGCCTGGTTTACAGAGTGAGTTCCAGGACATCCAAGACTACAAAGAGAAACTGTCTTGAAAAACAAAAACAAACAAAAAAAGAAGAGATAGATTCCCTCTGTCATTGGAAGTTTTTCCTTCAGGAGATCTTTTGCTAAAAGCAACAACAAAAATCCCAAACAAAAACAAAACAATAAAACCTCTGAGCTAGGTGTGGCATCATTACATGCCTGTAACTCCCCCTCCTTAGACAACAGGAGGATCAGAGGTTTAGCCACATACCAAGTCCAAGACCACCTGGGATACTTAGACTCTGTCTCATCCTACCACCCTGCTTAACTTCTGGGCATCATTTCCCAGGAGAAGTGAGCTTTCTTCCCCTTCACTTCTGTAACGGTGCAGTAGATTATGACAGGGCCCGAAACTTGGAACTCACACTTCTGCTTCTTCAGCCTTGCTAGTGTTGGATTACAGAGTCATGCAAAACAAGTCTCTTAATGTAGCCCAGAATGTTCCCAAATCTACCTGCCTCTGCCTCCTAAGTCCTGGCATTAAAAGCCTACCCTGGTCCAGCTCTTGGAATTTAAGACTTTGAGTTTTAAGAGAAAGAACTAAACCCTTGCAATAAAATCCACAGTAGAGGGTGAAAGCCTGGAAAGAGGGATGTTCTCACATTGGCTGTCACTGGAATGTTCGGGTTTGGGGCTACGAAAGTGTGTGATACACCCGATGATCTGTTCAGCACTGCAGAGAGGATCCAAACCCTAGTTCTGGATAAAAGATTCTGCTTACCCTAAAGTCAACATGCAACTTGTGATCCCGGCAGATGGGGCAAGGGTTCCCAGCCACTTTATTTTTACGCTGTAGACAAAAAACTGGTAGTTAAAGATACAAAACAACAATCACAGAAAGAACCTACGTTATGCTCCCTGTGCCTCCCTAGCCACATCCCACCAAGGTGACAAACTTAAACACTTACAATACACGTCTTCCGGGTCCGCTGCGGTGGTATACCACCTTTGTGGTTGCGGCGGTAGTCAGCCCAAACAGGGCGAGAGCCATAGCGGTTCTGGTATTCTGAAATAAAAACCAGACGAGCTGCCTGGTGTCTGTGGCGCACCTCTTTAATCCCAGCACTCGGGAGGCAGAGGCAGGCAGATCTCTGTGAGTTCGAGGCCAGCCTGGTCTCCAGAACAAGTGCCAGGATAGGCTCCAAAAGCTACACAGAGAAACCCTGTCTTGAAAAAACAAAACAAAACATAGAAACAACAATAACACAAAACAGATGAGCTTATTCACGCATGGAGGTGGTAGGGATGTCTCTGGTCACCTCCTTCTGCCCCCGCCCTTGCCTCCAATCTGGGTACCTTCTGAATCCAGATATTTCCAAGGTTCATTCTCATAGGGAGAAATGGGGAGGGAGGACAGGGAACCTTCTTCAGGGCCTTTGGTGCAAAGAGCCCGGAGGGGAACCTAAAAAGGGAGTAATAACATGAGAGAATGAGTTTCAAGAAGACGATGCAATTATTTGGTTTATTATACTTTGGGGAGACAGGTGGAACGTGCATCCAAAATATAAGAACAACTCAGCAGTTAGACATTAAAGTATCATGTGTTAAACTTAACAACCACTAGCTCCAATCAGATCCTTATAGGATTGGCCAACCAGTGTACGTAACGATTTAAAAAACTTGGCAAACAAAGATCTGTGCTTGACATGCATTATTTGGATCCGGTGGAAGAGAGAAAATATGTATAACATTCGGGAATAAAACTTATGGGGAGCAGGAGACGCACCAGACATGGGAGGAAAATGCCAAGTCCCCGAGTTGACCAGTTTTCTAAAATGCTGCAGGTCAACATTCCACAGGGCAAAACAAAACTTGAGTGCCAACGCCGGCTTTACAGCTACCAACCCTGTCATTACTTGGGTTGTGTGACCTCCGTCGCCACCCTTCAGTCCCACTTGAGGGAGTGTCGCCGGGGACAAGCCTTGAAGCTATTTCTCCCTGCCCTGCCAAGAGCCTCCAGGGTGGTGAGTACCTCAGGCTTGAGGGTTAGTTACTTCAACCCAGGGAGCACCATCATACGCCCGAGCATGCTCCGAAGAGAAACTGATGTGTTAGGGGTGGAGCAGGGCGTGGAGGATAACGCCTGTAATCCCAATGAAGTGGGAGGGTGTGTGGGGGTGGGGTGGGCAGAAGGGCCAGGAGTTCAAGGTCACCACCTAAGAGCTCACCCCGGGGCTGGGCGAGGCTGTCTCCAGCACAGCACAGCGGAGGTAAAAGAAAAACAATTAAACTTAGGGCCTTTCGATTGAAGGGCAGTCCTGGTGGGCCCCGCCGCAGACACCAACCACTCGGCTAAGGATTAAGAATTAGCTGCGCGTGTCCAGGGGTTAGTCCAACCTGCCCAGTCTTAGCCTAGAGGTGCTCGGGGAAGACGACGCCGGGAGGCGACCCTGGTTTTTCCCCCACGGCTGAACATTGGAGGACGGGGGGCGGTACAGGACTAAAGCCGCAAACCCTGGACGCCCCGCGGCGGCGCCAATCTTCCCGGCGGTTACCTGGGCTCCCGGGGAACTTCGCCAGAGGCCGGGGAGCAGCCTCAGCAGCGTGTGAGCCCAGGAGGCAGCCATCTTGACGCACGCCCCTACGTAGCGCCGGCCGGAAGCGCAAAAGAGCCGCTGCGCATGCTCGGGACACGGGGCTAGGGCGGGGCCAGGGGCCAGGCTCGCCAGGCGGAAGGCGGGCGCTCACGTGCGTCAGGACGGCAGCGTCCCCGGGCGGGGCCGGGCGAGGGACGCGAATTTCAGCTGCGTCACAATCGAACGGGCCTCCCAAATCGCGTCTCTCCCGGACGGGTCGCGATGACTCGCAGATCCCGGGCGGAGCGCGTGACGCGAAAGCCGTTTCGGGCGCGATTGAGAGCGGGCTGACGCCAGTGCGCATGCGCCGAGCCGTCCCGGCCAACCCCCGGGGTGAGGCGCGTGGGCCGGGGCGGAAGTGGTGGAGGCCGCGGGACAGGGAGGTGCCCAGACGCGAAGGTCACGCGCCTGCGCAAAAGGGCGCGGAAGGGGCCGGAAGAGAGGGAGCGGGGGGCGGGGCTCCTCCCGGAGGCGGAGGCGGGCCAGCCAATCCG